ATCTGACGTAATTTTCGAAAATAGACCTTTTCAAAGGCGAATGTTTCTTTAGAAAACCGTAAAAAACTATCCGAAATAGTGCTCTCTACGCTAACGCGAAATAACTTATCACCTACCATAACGTAGCCTACTTTCTGCCTATACGCAGAATAAGTACCACCGTGCATACGCGAGAATCCGTATGTGCTACTGTGACGGATCAAACGTTATGGGGGTAATTTTGGGATGTTGGAATAATATTTTCAAAGTACTGGGCGTACTACAGAGTCACACAAACACGCGTTGTCACCCCGGAAACGATACAGAACGAAATAAGCACATCTGACGTAATTTTCGAAAATAGATCTTTTCAAAGGCGAATGTTTCTTTAAAAAACCCTAAAAAACTATCCGAAATCGTGCTCTCTACGCTAACGCGAAATAACTTATAACCTACCATAACGTAGCCTACTATCGGCCTATGCGCAGATAAGTACAACTGTGCATGCGCGAGAATCCGTATGTGCTACTATGACGGATCTAACGTTATGGGGGTGATTCTGGGATGTTGGAAAAATATTTTCAAGGTACTGGATGTGCTACAGAGTCACACAAACACCTGTTGTCACCCCGGAAACGATACAGAACAAAATAAGCATATCTGATATAATTTTCGAAAATAGACATTTTCAAAGGCGAATGTTTATTTGAAAAACTCTAAAAAACTGTCCGAAATAGTGCTCTCTACGCTAACGGGAAATAACTTATAACCTACCGTAACATAGCCTACTTTCGGCCTATGCGCAGAATAAGTACCATTGTGCATGCGCGAGAATCCGTATGTGCTATTATGATGGATCTAACGTTATGGGGGTGATTTTCGGATGTTGGGAAAATATTCACTAACATAACTTGTATGTAAGTGCAACCACGCCTGTTAATGAAACAGATAGGCAACCCGTTGTATTGATCTGCATGTTGATGCAACACTCTGTATATTGGTTATTTTCGATTATATACGAGAGATAGCTCTCTCTCGTACAATAACATCTCTTACGAGATCGACTCTTTTATTCTTTCTCAACTTACATCTTAGAGAATTTATAAACATTGTGTTGCGAGATTACTGTCGAAGCCTCGGTGGCCGAATGGAAAGGCGTCCCGCCCGGAAAGTGGGGAGGTTCCAAGTTCGAGTCCTGGCGGAGGCAGTTTTTTCACAACATAATATAAGGGATCTATTTGAGTCATTTGTTTAATGGGGGTTTGGGATTTTAATAAAAATATATATTTAAAAATTGGGACTCAAGGATTAGTTTAAATATGGAAGGTAATTCTCCACGTACGATAATTGAAGAAAAATTTCGATACGTGCGTTTAACATACTGGACAATTTTATCCTCCCACAGTCATATTAATATTAAATAAAGTAATATTAGTATTTAATAGCACTAAGACATCCGTGCTTGCTCTTTATGTGCCGTTAATTTCTCACTATTAGTTTATATTTATTACGTTTATTTGCGTTAATATTCGTATTTTGCTCCTACTTTCTTAATGATCCGATATGAGAATAACACGTACCGGCTACTCATAACAATAAACATTTCATGACAGACATATTTACGGCTATATATGATCAACTTTGAAAGAGTATTAAATGTTTTTTCCATTCTTAGCAGTGCAATAAATTCTCTTTGAAATGTATGTAGTAATATTTATGTCATGTACATGTTATACAGAATGAATAGTAATGGACATTTGCATTTTGATGTCGGAAATGTTCAAAAATCTCGGGAGTCAACACACTTAAGGTTATTAAAATCTCTAAGACCTTCGAGGTTATATAAAGGGTGTGTTTTGTTTTAAATAATATTCGAAATTTGCTAGGTGTATATGTATGAAACTTTATTTTAAGTGTTTTGTTTTGTTTTTTGTTTCGTTTATTTCAAACGATTTGAGATACCAGATGGACTATTAATTATAAATAAATGATGTGCAAGTGATATACGTAGAAAAGTAGAAACATATATATATATATATATATATATATATATATATATATATATATATATAT